AGATAAGTGGATTGTTAGGAAGTTCCTGGAACAAATATAATGAAGGTATTTTCAATTTTCCTTCCTGGACAAGAATTTCCTGGAATAGTGAGCTCATGTTGATAGAGCCAATCCAATAGTCATTGTTTGCCCAGAGACAGTCAACCATGGCCCATGTACATAGCCAGGTGTGTGGATGTGGATGTTTCTGGTCCTGAGGTCTTTGATGAGGCACCAGATGTGAAAGTTCTCTTCCATGTTTTTGAAATTCAAGTGCATTAGTCTATTTACAAAGATTTTTTAAGAGTTGAAAGTTTGATTCTTTAAAAGCATTATTAGAGTGACATATCCCATTTGTACTTTAAAATAGCTAGCTTATAAATCCAAAGGATTTCATTTAAAACTGAAAAAGGCAATCACTCAGAAAGAAAATGACTACTTTTACATATGATAATACATATCAGAGTGGAAAACTCTACTAAAACAGCTGCTATTTCTTAAGAGCAGGGATCTTTACATTCTCTTTATGTCTTAAAATATTTAATAGCTGGTAAAGGTCACTGGAAAGTGTCCTTTAATTTTTTGGGGGCAATCCCAAACTGTCATACACAAAGCAGCTAATGACAGAACAAAATAATTATGTTGTTTTGCTCTAGAAAGAAACTGAAAAATGAGTTATTTACATTTTTCTTATTTGGGGCCATTTTGCAAGGCATATTAAAATATTCAATCCCAATTCATCAAATAAATTATGAAGGCATCACATTTTTAAGATACGCCTTTACAAGAAAAATACATTTAGGATAGTGTGGTCTAAATGTGAAAATGATACTTCTTTGAACAACTTTTTCTGGACAGACCATCTCCTGCCCAATGACTCCATGATTAACAAGGCAGGCTGGGACATTGGTCAGCCTGAGAGGGGTTGGCTGGAGGCAGGAATAGAGTCTGAAGGATAGGAGCTCGTCTTTGGGTAAGAATTAAGCAGAATTTTGCTCTTGGTACTTATTTTTCTAGGGCATCAAACAAATTCTTTGTTCTTCTTAAGTTTCAGTTTCTATCAATATAGCCCTGATCATAATAATTCCATTGCAATGAAGCTATGAAGCCTAGAAGAGAGAATTTAGGCAGGAACTTAATTTTAGCAGATAGGTATAGATTCACTGGGATATATGAGGGTCCTAGCACACCACTTAATCTCACCAAATTCTTTCTTTCTCCGGATGAGACAACATCTGGAACAGAACCTAAAGCCACTAGGTCCAGAAGTCTACTCGTTCATTTCTGAAAATGCAGGCCAGATGAGTTCTGCCATTATCCTGACCATAGTAAAACTATACACAGTACTACAGTTTTCCTAAAAGCAGGGGAAAGAAGCTGTGGTTTGCTTTTCAATTGAATGCACATGAGGTCGAATTTTGTCTGCACATTTTTCTAGTTTTATAGTCTGGGGCAAGTTGCTAACTTTTTTCCTAACAGTTTCCTCATCAGTTAATTGAGTGTAGTAATATCAACTCCACAAATTTGAGGATTTTGTGAGATGAAGTCTACAAAGCATCATTGATTGTGTCTGACAGTGTAGATAGTTATTAGCCAATTAAATCTGCTTACTTTATAATTATCTGCTGAATAATAAGAGGAAATAGCAGGGTACTGTTCCCAGACTACCATCAAATGGATGTAATGTGTGGAAAGAGACATAGGAAAACATTAGTTTTTATGAATATTAATAAAATATTTATGGGCCAGAACAAGTTAATTAAAACTTTTTCTAATGGGGCAGATCAGGGAATCATTCACCCCTTTCTTTTCATTCAGGATTTTTGATTTCAATAGAAGCATTTTAGTCCTATGTCTGAAGACCCCAGGATTTTCATACCATTTCAAAATGATTAAGAAAAAAAATTGTTATTCTTATTATGCCCAAAATATACAGAACTGAACACAATTTTTTTTTAAAGAGAGAGTGAGAGAGGAGGGAGAGAGAGAGAGAATTTTTAATATTTATTTTTTAGTTCTCGGCGGACACAACATCTTTGTTGGTATGTGGTGCTGAGGATCGAACCTGGGCCGCACGCATGCCAGGCGAGTGCGTTACCGCTTGAGCCACATCCCCAGCCCCTGAACACAATTTTAGAAATGTTCATGGTTTGAATTCATGGACCAAATTGTCTATAACAGACATCCTAACATTCTCTGATTTTAACTCTTCTATTTTTTGGGGGGGTGATGAGATAGGTGTTGGAAGGCGAACCCCGGGTCTCACACACATTAGACAAGTGCTTTACCACGGAGCTACCTCCCAGTCCTGATCTTAAGGCTTTCTTTAGCATGCTGACATCTGTTTGCAGATATTTGAACTCTGAAGCCAGGCAGTTTATACTACAACCCCCTCTCCCACTTACCTGGGCTTTTTGCTACCTTTCTTCTCATTTCTAACCCTACATTTTTTTCCCCTTTGCTATTTTAAATATGTTCAGCAGCTCCTTCCATGTTTTATCACACTGCTTGGTTTTGGTGCATGAGGTTCCTGCTGTCTACAATGACTTTTCTCAAATGTTCCCTACTAATCTGGAACCCGGACTTTTCTCAGGAAATCACAGTGCTAGGAAACCCTTGCGCTATTTCCATAGGAGCTCACGTATATCACAATCATAATGCCTTCTGCGTATCTCCTTGTCCCCTACCCATTAGGCTGAACTCACAGGGAAGTCAGGGAGTGGGCCTGGCATCAGCGTGCATCTCACTGAACATCTGTTGTGTGAATGGGTGAATCCTACTCATCATGCCTTCCTTATTTCCCATAGCAAGGGCACTCCTCTTATGAAATGTTGCCAGCACTACTCACTGATATAAAATCATACTCAGGGTGAGATGTAAAAATGTAACTCAGCAAAGGGGAAGCCAAGAACCTGGCTGAGCAGATTTTCATCTGTGGTCCATTTTCAAAGGCTATATCACTTGCACATCTTGTACAAGTTAACTTGGTGACTAAAAGAAAGCTATGCTGTATATCAACTGTCATGTGCCAACCCTTGTTATATGAAGGTCTACCCAATACATCCCTGGTTTTCCTGTGGGGACCTAAACTATTTTGCATATAAGTGATAACTAGTCCCAGAGAGGTTTATATCTGGGCAGAAACTAGAAAATTAAGTTAGGTTGGCTGTTTGACATTAGGTGAGAAAAAACACACAAGAAAATAGGGGTTGTCAAGAATTAATTATCACTTTTCTTTAATAGTTCAACCAGCTCTCAGTACGGTGGTCTACACCTGTAATCCCAGGGACTTAGGAGGCTGAGGCAGGAGGATCTCTACTTCAAGGTCAGCTTCAGTTCTTTAGTGAGGCCTAAGCAACTTAGTGAGACCCTGTTTCAAAACAAAAAATAAAAAGGGATCAGAAGGGTGGAGCTTGTATCTTTGTGCTCACTGAATCTGGGTGAACTCATGCTAGTGAAGGTGTCATTGTGTCCAAGGCATCTCTGTTCTGGAGAATATGCCACACCAAGATGGTGACAAGTCGCCCACTGGCCAAAAGTCTTCCTCACTTGGGGTAAAAACCTAAGCCAAGCAGGCCAGCTGTCAGAACAAAAGTACAGTTGAACTTCTCACAGACACGGGCACGTCTACCTCATCAGGGCTCCTTCTGGAACTGAGGGCTTTGTGGGAGGTTAACATATAGTAGCCTGAAAATGATCACAGCCAAACTCATTATCAATTTTTATTTCCTACCATACACCAAATGTACAGCACTGAACACAATTTTGTTGCTTTGATGTAAGAAATATTAATTGTTTGGAGAAACAGGATACAAACAAACTACCTCAAATTAAAAAAAATGCATACATCATTGCCATTTTGTTGTTTACAAAAGACCCAATTTACAGTATCGATCATTAACATAGTTGAAAAGAAAAAAATCAGTGCACATTACAAAACACATCAAGTACAAAGGAGGCAAATAAATACCAACATACTTCACAAAAACATCCTGTTCAATCTATGCAAACACAAATAAATTAACCTGAAGTCATAGTAAATTATAGTAATAAATACATAGGTTGGTAAGAGATTTCTTTTTAAATTAAATAAAATATATAACAAACTTGTTAAAATATTTAGCAAATTAAACTTTTGTCTTTGTAATAAGTGAACTCATTTGTATGCATCTATGAAGTACTGTATAGCAAAATGTTTGCAAGTACATAACTTTAATAGAAAATTTTGTTTGGTGTCCCATTTATAATAGACAGCACATATGGTAGCTTTTTCTTTAAAATTTATTTTTAAATAAACACCTTTCCTACCTAAGAACAGACATTTCATCTTCACTAAACTAAGATTCAAGAGTTCAAATGAACCCCAAACCAAAGAGAAGCCCCATTTGATGCATAACAATGACCACAATTTCATGGAGGTGGAATTACTGTGGGATATCACTTTTCGTGTTTTTGTGCAGGTAACTTTAGCAAGAGTGGAATATATCAAGCCTGTGAATGCCATCACATTCAATCTAAATATCCATGAGGCTAATCAAAAATAAACACTTTTGTTATAGCACAGAAAATTAAGCCCACACTAAGTTCATGTGTACATTTACACTGAGGCACGTCTGCACATGAAATGTGTGTGCACACCAAAAAGGCAGTTTAGCTGGTTGTCTATACCTTTTCCTTAAAAAAAATAAATATAAAAAAACTTTTGAAACAATGCTTAACTACTTTACAGTCCCTGAAATAGACATTGCCTTTACTATAGCAACTACTAAACTCTGACCCATTCAGAAATTCAAGATCG